CCCGGGGGCGGGCCTGGGGCCGCCTGGGGCTGGGACTCCGCCTGGAAAACTGCATCCTGGCCCCTTCCGACGGGGCGTTCACTAGGCGGCCTTGGGAATTGAAGCCCAGAGAAGTGAATGCCCTAGGACCCCGCCCCACCCCACCCCAAAATACGCCCATCCTGGGGCTCCGAGAGCTGGGAGCGGAGCGCTTAGGGGGGCGAGGAGCCCGCAGCCCGCTCGGCTCCGCCCTCCCCCGGCACCTGGCGGCGTCCAAGACGCCTCACCTCCGCGCGCGGCGGTTTCCTCCCCTGCACCTGCCCTTGATGGAGGGTGACTGTTCCTCGACATTGCTCCCCACCAGTGACCTTGAAATTCCCCTGCCTCTTGGTCTGACTGCGTTGGCATAATGCGAGAGATCTTGTTCACCTAAGGGGGGGGGGTGCTTGTAGCAGCAACGAAATCCTGGTGGTTCAGCTTGCCAGGCAAGGTTCTCAAAGGGCCCTAGCAAGGCTGCCTCCCAACCAAAAGAGATGTTTCCTAGGCCACGTTTCTGTGGACTCTGCCAGCCGAGTCCCTAGAGGTAAACAACTTCCACCCAGGCCTTTCCAACTCCCAGAGATGCGAATTAGGACCGAGCGCGCGTCTTCTCCTGCGCAAGAGGCTCCAAGCTCTTCAGGCAGCGGTAGGATAGGGTAGAAGGCAGGAGGGGGTCCGTGTGTGTAGTGATTAAAGAGCCCACGAAAGAGCGCAAGCAGCCTTATTACAGAGTAATAAAACCACCTGATGCCACAGCCAGTTAGTGCCGCCCTGGGCGAATGGCGGTTCTCATCTCCTCCAGACTGGAGATGCTGGAAAAAGCAAGCTTGAATGTGACCGAGCGGGTCTTGAAAGGTTCTAAGTTATAATTAAGCAGCAGCCATGAAAGATAAGGCCATCGGCGATCTGATGTCTTGCCAACAACACTTAAGTTGTTTTTGCTGCGTGCGATGAATGCTATAAACGCGCGTTGATATGGAGCCCTGGAAAAACCCATGGTTTATACAGAGCTCCTTCTCTGGCTCCAGGGTCACTCTGGCTGTTTAGTCCTGAAGGCACCACCTCTGATCACCCAGGGCAACGGGGATTCTTGGTGGGGGGTGGAGAAGCTTCCTCCTAGCAGAGCTGCCCATCACCAGGGAGAAGCTGGGATGTGCCAAGGAACACAGTCCCTCTCACTGGTGCCTATTCCATGAGGCAGGAGGGAGGCTCTGCAAGTACTCTGGGTTGCCTTTCCCCCTCTCTCACTCTGCCAGTTCCTGCAGCATGGTGCCCTGCTCACCTACAGTATCTCTGAAACTGTGCTTTCAAGAATTCTCTGCAACTTCCTAGTTGGCAAGCCAAGGGTCAAGTTCCAGGCTTTACCTCTCTTGATTGACCCTGCAGTGGTCAACCCAGTTTAGCACACCCTTCTTCAAAAACCCTCCTTTTTCCCTAGCATCACCTGCTCTTAAGTGAGCCTTTTAAAAAGGGAACTAGGCCCAGCTGGTGTGGCCCTGGTTGAGTGTCAACCCATGAACCAGGAGGTCACCGATTCCCGAGTCAGGGCACAGGCCTGGGGTTTCCAGCTCCATCCCCAGTAGGAAGGGTGCAGGAGGCAGCCAGTCAATGAATCTCTCTCGTCATTGATGTTTCTATCTCTCCCTCTCCCTTCCTCTCTCTGAAATCAATAAAAACATTTAAAAAAAAAGATCCCAGTACCCTTTCAGCTGTGACAACTACCAAAAAAAAAAAAAAAAAAAGAAAAGGAAAAAAAAGGAGCTAAGGAGCTAGACATGCATCTCAAGTTGGGCTGTCAGGATTTCGGGATTTGAGCCTTTGCCTTACCACGTGTGACTATGGGCAAGTTCCTTAACGTCTCGGGGCCTCAGTTTGCCCATCCTTATAAAAAGCATAATAAAAGCACCTAAGGCATAGGGCAGCTATAGAGATTAAATTAGATAATTTCTGTAAAAACCTGCGTGCCTGATGTGTAAATGCTCGATAAACGCTACCTCAGTTTTTTTCAACCATAAATGGAGTTTAAAATGGCTCTACTTCAGAGGGTCGTTACAAGATTCAGTGCACTGTACATGTAAGGAGCTTAGAACAGAGCCTGACATATGGTCAGTGTTGAGTAAATGTCGGCAATCCTATTAGTAATAGTAACTTCCAGTCCCACCCTCCACCTCAGCTCCAGGCCTCCACGGCAGCTGCCTCGACGCGCCGTGTTACATTAGACTCAGCCTGCTGAAAACCCGTAACAGTGTTGCACGGCCTCGTCCCGCTCTCTGCTCCCTTGGTCCCTGACCATCCTACCATCATTCTTGCCCTTCCCTCCCCCTCCCCACACAACCCTCCTCTTGGCCCTTGGGCTCGGGGACATTTTTCAATCCCGTCACCACCTTTGGGCCGCTCAGGCTCACAGCCCTCTGGGGCCCTACATCCTGACACGTCTTGAAGGCTGCACAGGTCAAAGCCGGGCGTCGAGGAGGAGTCCAAGGTTTCCCCGCCCACCCGCCAGAAAACAGTTCTGTCGGCTTGGAAGGGGTGCGACAAGCGTTTTTTGGGACAGCAAGGGCCCAGTTTTGAACCGGAAAGATGTAACACATTGAAGAATAATGATTAGGAAGGTTAGTTCCTTCCCTGAGTTTCCTTTAAAAAAAAAAAAGTTTTTATTGATCTTTAGAGGGAGAGGAAGGGAGAGGGAAACAGCGCCGGTGGGCTGCCTCCTGCGCCCCCTGCTGGGGACGGAGCTGCAGCCGCAGCACGTGCCCTGACCGGGAATCCCGCTGCCACCACCGGGCTCCGGGACCACGCTCCACCGCTGGGGCACACCGGCCGGGCCTTCCCCGAGTTCCTTTTCCTAACTTTGCTATCGTTTATTTTCACTTTTATTTTTTGTCTGTTGTCATCCTCTTTCCGTTATTTGTCATTAAATGTGTTCCCTTGTACCCAGAATCCAACCTCTTCTTCCCACCTCCCCTGCCACCCCCATGTCACTTCTCAGCCCCCGGGGCCACGGCCATGCCGCCTCTGGGTTGCTCTACCACCTTCTCCCCCGCCCGGGGCACCGCACCCTCGACCCTGCGGCCAGGCGCTCACACGGAAACTGAGATTACGTCGCGCCCCTTCTATATCGGGCCCCACACCGTGCCACCGCCTGGACCGCCTCCCTCCGCTCACCCAGGAGCGTGGACTTTAATCATTTTATTCGCAAAAATAAAAAATGGTTTGCGCGACTCTCAAGGTCTATACAGAAGAGGCAACGTCTCGCGGTGCGCTGGGCGCGAGACCCACGGGCGGACGCGGCCCGCGCGTGGTTCCGACAGAGCGCACCTGCGCCGGTCGCCCCTGCAGCCCCCGCCTCCCGGCCTCCTCCGCGGAAGACTCCACTTCCCAGCATGCCCTGGGGCGGGGCCGGCCGGAAGGCCGCGTGCCCCGCGCGGGGCATGATGGGGGAGCTGGAGCTTTCCATCATGGCGGCTTCCATTTCGGGCTACACCTTCAGCGCTGTGTGTTTCCACAGCGCCAACAGCAACGCCGACCACGTAGGTGCCGG